GTACTTAAATTTTATAAACTTTACCCTTTGCCTTGATATAGTTGGTATCAGACAATCACTTAGGTGGATCTGTTATCAGTGCAAAAATAAGATAGATGTTTTTCAAAGAAATCAAAGTATGTATGTCTTTTTTACTTTTATTCTTTCTTTCCTTTTTTTTTTTTTTTTTTTGAGACAGAGTCTCACCCTTGGTAAAGAGCTATGGCATCATAGCTCACAGCAACCTCCAACTCTTGGGCTTGAGCAATTCTCTTGCCTCAGCCTCCCAAGTAGCTGGGACTACAGGTGCCCGCCAAACACCCAGCTACTTTTTGTTGCATTGCTATTTGGCTGGCCCGGGCCAGGTTCGAACCCACCAGCCTTGGGGTATGTGGCTGGCGCTGTAACCGCTATGCTACTGGCACTGAGCCTTTACTTTTATTCTTTCTTTTTTTTGCAGTTTTTGGCCAGGACTGGTTTTGAACCCACCACCTCCAGTATACGGGGCCAGTGCCCTCCTCCTTTGAGCCACAGGCATCACCCCTTTACTTTTATTCTTATCAAATACTTAGAAGGAATATTCAATTTCAAGGGGCTATCCAAGAGAGAACAAGAGAAAAGCATCTATTTAGATGAGATGAGACAGAGTTCTCTTTTAACATTCCTTAGGGTTCAGTTAACTATACTTAAATTCAATTTCAGGGATTGGTATTTATTATGGACTGAATGTTTTTGCTCTCCCCACCCAATTCACATGTTGAAGTCCCAACCCCCAGTGTGATGGTATTAAGAAATGGAGCCTTTCAGGGGCAGTGCCTATAGCTTAGTGGGTAGGGCACCGGTCACATACACCCAGGCTGGTGGGTTCAAAACAGGCCTGGGCCAGCTAAACAACAAAGACAACTGCAACCAAAAAATAGCCAGGTGTTGTGGTGGGCACCTAAAGTCCCAGCTGCTTGGGAGGTTGAGACAAGAGGATCGCTTGAACTCAAGAGTTTGAGGTTGCTGTGAGCTGTAATGCCATGGCACTCTACTCAAGGCAACAGCTTGCGACTCTGTCTCAAAAATAATAAATAGGCTCGGCGCCTATAGCTCAACTGGCTAAGGCGTCAGCCACGTACACCTAAGGTGGCGGGTTCGAATCCCCAGCCCGGACCCGCCAAACAACAATGACGGCTGCAGCCAAAAAATAGCCGGGCGTTGTGGC